CCGTCTTCTGGGTTGTTGCGCGGTGTAGTCTGGTTGATGTTAGCCACGTTTCAGAGGTCATACTACCTCTGTCATCAGAGCGCCCTGATGACGGAGGCAGTATGACCTCTGAAACGTTGGTTAACATCGACCAGACTACACAGCGCAACAACCTAGAAGACAGGAATCTAAATGAAATTTACATTATGACATAAAATACAGATTTCATTATTTTAAAATGAAAACATATTCTTTATATGGTTTATACCTAACAAAGCACAGGAAAAAATAGTTTATAATTAGATTAGCTTTGTGATAATAAATAAATGAACATAAAAACAGTGAAAATATATTTGGAACAATTTTATCCAGATGGGTCGTCTTGACTTAGGTTTCCTTCTCTGACTTTTTTCAGTGCCGCCATGCAAATACCTCAAACAGTTGATATTTCATGTTGTCATGGCAGCAAGTACGTCGACAGCCTCTGTAACGACAACAACAACTAACCTCAACGTAATCTTCGTAGAGTTGAGAATTTTTAACCGGAGCCGAATCATAAAAATGGTGAAGGTAACTTTTGACTCCAAAGTAGATGGGGCAACTCCCACCTCGCATCCCTCCACATCCCGGAGCACCGCCTTCTTCACTTTCTTGAGATGGCTCTTCTTGCTTTTGCTGCTGCTTTGGTTTTTCTTCTTCGTGTCGCCGAGTCAATTGTGCTGGTTCCTGTTTTTGTTTCAGTTCCTCGTGCCGTTGCTTTAGTTTTTCCTGGTCTTCTTTTGGCGTCAGTTGCTTTTCGGGTTGTTCGTGTTGATGCTGCTGCCATTTTGATTGGTTTTGTTGTATTATTTCCTGCTGTAACCATTTTACTGACTGACGATATTTCTGTCGGTTTGCTTCATTTTCTTTGTCCTTCTCGTGTTCTTTTGAATTTCTTTCTTTTTCCTCCTCGTATGATTGGAACTGCTGTGGTCCAAACTTTTCTTCTTCCTGCCTTTCGTTATAACCTTCCTTTGTTTGTTCCTGTCTTTGTTGCTGTTCTAGCTTCTGTTTCTGTGTTCCCTGTTCTTTCACCGTTGACTGTTGTTGATTCTTCTGAACAGATTGAATTCTCTTCTTTTGTGGTTGCTGAATCTGCTGTTCTTTCTGTTGAATCTGTTCTTTCCATTCATTTTGCTTGCCTTTCCCTGTCTGGCGTTCTTGTTTCCGTTGTTCCACTCGCTGTTCTCGCGATTTCTGCTGTTTCGGCCGAGTTTCTTTTTGCTCTTGTAATTCTGTCTGTTGCTTCAATGGCTGTTGTTTCTGGTGCACTGTTTTCTGTTGTGGACATCGTTGAACTTCGTGTTCTAATTGCTTGATCTGATCATTAATAGCAGTCTCAGTTAATAATGAATTACCAGCCTTCATTCTGTTACCTTCTTGACTTTTCTCAGAATACATAACATCAGATCGTTGAAGACTTTCCTCGCTTTTTTCGCCCCTTGAGGCTGTTTCCTGAAACGCAGTACGTAATGTTTTTTCTGTATTTGGCTCATCAAGGGTTCTACGATGAACGTCCTGTGACTGATCTTTCGCGTCAGACTTCTTTGATGGTAGGGTTGCTGTAGATTCCAGAGTCTCACTACTTTTGGATGCGTGTCCTTCTTTGGACTTCGCGGATGTTTCCCAAGATCTGCGTACTTGAACACCGTGTTTCTGCTCGGTGTCCTCTGCAGCTTTATGAATAGAGGATTCTGGAACTTCCTTAATCCCAAAATTTCTTGTCTTACAGCTTGAGTCTGACACTCTTTTATCATCATCCAAGTCTTTAATTTTATTTTCTTTCTTCACTTTACTGTCAGATTCGTTTTTCTTTCTTTCACTTGCCTTCTCCTTATGTTCCTGTTTATCAGCAGCTGTTTCATTCTGAAGTGCATTTTCTATTGTCTCACTAGAAGACATCACTTCCCTTTTCTCCTCCGGAGTAACGTTCACTTCCATTCCTCGTTTGCCCTCATCTGTGACTGATAATTTTTCTCCCTCCTTTACCTTCTTCTGTGGGGTCTGATCGATTGCACTGCTTACTAAAGTTCTGTTCACGCTTCCCTCAACAGTTGTCATCTCGTGAACTGGTTTCTGGTGCACAGAGATTATCCCAGCATCGTCTCTTTTTCTGTCTTTCTTTATAACCGTGGTTTCTTCTTCTTTAATTTCTATGACTGTGTCCTCTTTATTCAGTACTCTGTTCATATCACCAGATATTTTCACATCTTCTTTATGATTTTCTTTCTCGTGGCCTGCGCCAGCTCTTCCCGTAGTTCCTTCTGCGTAGTCTTGTGCTTGAGTTTTGTCCGCTACTGCTTCCACAGTCTTCAGCGCCTCATTTCTTTCCTTATCCTGTTCCTTTGATGGCATTGCATGAGCAACATCTCCATTTGCTGCTTCATGTTTATCTGACTCTTGTTTGTTTGTCAGTGAATCCTGCTTACTTACTGACAGATCGTAAGTTGCTTTCAGCTTTCCTTCTTCAGGTGCCAGGACTTCAACAGACGTCTTCAGACCTTCCTTACCAATGTCAACCACCTCTTGAACTTCAGTCTCATTTATCTTACCACTAGCCACTTGTGATCCTTCTTCCATCTCTTTTGCATCTCTGTTCTTGTAATCTTTTCCTTCTTTGTCCTTGGACTTCACCCTTCTGTCATCATCACCTTTCTTGATTTCAACTGTCTTTTCCTTCACAGTACCACCCTCCATTTCTTTGTCTTCATACGTCTCTCTTTCCACACCTTCTCCATTTTCACATTTCCTAACTGGCTTCTCCCTTTCCTCATCCTTGTTTTCTTTTATGTCTGTGTGCCCTATTCCTTCATCCCCATCCTCTGTCTCTCCTTTGCTGTTTGGCTTTTCTTCAATTTTATCACTTTCTTTTCTTTCTGCGTCATCTGATTTCTTCCACTCTTCCATTCTCCCTCTTCAGTATATGGTTACGTTTTATTTTTCGTAACAAAGAGTGGTGGATGACAAGTCATTGTATGTGGGTCTTCTTCTGTTCATTCTGAAATTTAAGAGAAGCAATGTTTTAATTTCACTTATACGCTCATTCTGTAAACATTACGTGCATAAATAAATAAATATATAAATTCATTTCAGTGTACGTTCTTAACAACATTACAATTGCAATTTATGCCAATCCCTCAAGATAAGGGACCATAATACACTTCTGGGAGCATGCGCGTAATTGTTCTAGAATTTGCATAGCATCTTCCCAGCAAAAGCAGTTTTCCTTCGGGTGAGTGAGTGCCTTGCGTTTCCCACACGGAGACGCTCATGACGCCTGAAGGGCGAGGAACAGACAGACAGATCCATTTATCTGACGCCTACTGTCTGCGCATAAATAACTGACTGACTAACTAACCAACCAAATCCACAAACTGTTTAATTTTCCACAGATTATTTCTGTATGACTCTCAGAAGAAACCGCGATCATATCGTAAAACAGCGTTAACCAGCTGATCTTCGTAATGGTAAAGCGTGGTGTTTTCTTCGCGGTACGGACCGAATTCTTAAATATATTATTCTGACGAACTTCGGCATGAAAGAATTAAAGAACTCAAAGGCACATCACAAACGCCTGGATAGTACCTCAAATTAGGCCACCACCGGTTCCTTCTACATCCTTTCCAATTCATCATTCATGAATCAGCCAATCCAATCGCGTACCCAAAACTACCTCCTCCTTTTAGATATATTTCGCTGGATGCTAAGTTATTTCCTATCGCCCGACTGGGCGATGCTTTGAAAATTACAGTACTGCGCATTTAAAATGCAACACTGTACGTGAGTAATCATTCAACAACGTGATGGATTAATTCATATAAATGGAATCAAATACTTATTAATGTAGGGACCACAACCACAACTATGTTCGGACGGTGGAGATATTCGGAATGAACAGAGTTCGAATCTTTTCTTTTTTTTCTCAAGCCCTATTTAGGGGTAATCCTTGAAATTAGCCCACATCGTTCCGAGGTCCTCTCAACACACATAATTTACGTAATCCTGCTAGATACAATGACAGAAATTTTGAAACCTAGAACCCATCAGATATGCTAAATTTGACTTTGGTCCTTGGCATGATGAAATCGTCAAAGACATGGCAAATACTTCACTTCCACTGAAATTGGCCTCAGACCGTGAAGGCCGAGAAAAGATGCGGTAACGAAGACTGGCGGACGTTGATTAGTTTAACCCTCACCACGCGACAACTGTTAACAGCTGCCCCGCCTTCGTGTTTGAACTCCGCGATAGTTGACTACGACATCACCCTCGGAAACAGGTCAGGGGAAGAAACAGCAAAGTCGATTACTGAGCAGACGGAAGTCAGAAGGAGACATCAGTCTGACGACAGCCTCAAATAATGTACATTGGTTGTAGGCCTAAACAGAGACCTCAAATTAAGTCGGCTCGCTGCTCGTAAAGCCCGGTTTACACGTAACGTCTTATCGTACGTTTTGTTTGATCAGTTAAGATGTATCAGTTAAAATATTACGTATGGACAGAGAAACGGACGTTTTGCCTGAACTGAATGAAGACGGACGTCTCTCACAAAACGGATCGGTTAGAGCATTGTTTCCCGGTAAAACGTCAGTCTTTGTAGCTTCTACCTGTCGCTAGAAATCTTAGAGTAGCAGTCAGTCTCTGATGGGGTGTGATAGCCCTTCTCATGGTAGTGTCCTTTTTTGTATTTCTGGAGTTACTAACGATAGTAATTTCAAATAAGTGTCCGTATCCATTCGTAAATAATTACGCCAATCTCCAGGTTCATGACGTAATTCCCGAAGCAAACTCACATGAGAGAATCTGCCCCTCTTTAGCAACCATCGTCTAGACCACCGTGAGCGACGAACAACTTCCTTTCTTTTCAGTTTCACGAGAGACAATGAAATAATCGCTACAAGTAATACTTCATCCATGGTATCTATGAAACTGAGCAGAAAACGGTAGCTAAAACGTAAATAGTTTTACCTGACCATCTTAACTGATGAAACAAAACGTACGATAAGACGTTACGTGTAGACGGCTTTAGGAACACAATGGTCGCAACAGATTAAATTATTCGAACTGTCACCGTTTACGCTTTAATTCGTTTTGGTGGATATTTCACTATTTTAATTTATTATTAATGCTTTTTAATTTAACGTATCGCCCCCGAGACCGGCTATCGTGACATTTTCTTTTCGTGGTTTTCCTTCGTCCCCCAGGCAAATACTTACATCGTACATTAAATTAGGCCACCCTCCACTTCCGCATCCTTTCAAATCCTCGTCGCTAGATAGTCTTAGCTACAAACAACGTCGTTAAATGAACCACAGAAATTTACACCGAATTGTTCCCTCGTATTGACAATTTGCTTACGCAATGACAGTTGCAGATGTTTTCTTGCAAAGGTTTAAGGTTGTCCCTGACACGTACACGACGACACGAAGACGTATGAGGTAGAGGAGGTATAGCTCCACTCATTCTTGACCTTGGCGCACACACACATCACTTCAGAAGAAGTCTGTACACCCTTACAAGACCAGCATTTCATGCCGTGTATGAGCCAAGAAATAACTCAGCTGAAATGAAATTCTCCTGGGAAATTAAATTACCGACACCCACCAATCCCAAATTTAATCGAAATTAACGAAATAGTTTCTGACGGATGGCGAAACACGCGACGCAATTTATTTCGAAGAACTTCGTCTAAGAAGAACTCAAAACAAGGACGGATGCACGCGCATTCATCAATATTTGTTAATAATAAATTCCTCGACTTCCTTCTTGCGAGAGATGCGTTCCTTTGTGATTAACTCACCGTATACCAAGAACACGCGGATTCACAGGAAACTTGTTTCATGCACTTTCCTTCCTTGTTCGTTTCACAGAAATGTTGGATTCAGCTTAGCGACAGAAATGCTGAATTGCATAACCGCCACTTTGATTATAGTTCTGTCGTCTTATCTTTTCTAAACTAAACGTGACCACTTCCACAACCGTTCTGCGTTAATCGGCACCTCGTATTTCCTATAAAATAAACTTTAAACAGTTCACTGACAGAATATCAAACAAGATTCATTTATAATTAAAAAAGAACCCGGAAACGAAGGATGGACTCCATTTTGTGAGATCCTCAACACGTTTCAATAGACGTAATATTGGAAAGGACTATGATGATGATAACCATAATGGTTGTACCTCTTTCACGTGAGGTACTAAATCATATTCATAGCTGAAATGTCAACCATCTGGCCAGAAATGATTCGGTCACAGGCGAATATCTGAGTTATTGCAGGTGATTCATATTGTTTCCGCTAGGTTTGCAAGAGTTATTCTATAATGGTTCTCATGTCATGTCCAACTGGAAACCTCTACGAAGAGAAGACAATACGAGGTGATTTACATGAACAAACAACATGCTGGCACTGCGTACAAAATGCGAAAGAGCTTTTCGAACTTCAGAGACTATAACCCTCGATTAACGGATCCATTTTACAGTTTCATACACTATTATAGGCAGGTGGGTGAAATTTTCAGTCAACCACCGTCTGATTTTTCATAAAAGGCCAGGAAGTGATGAGTTGGTTTGCGAGTTCAAACGCCAAGGTTGAAATAAAGTTTCTAAATCCGGAGTAACTAACAAAGACGGGGGGAGGGGGGAAAGTTTTTTTTTTAAAAAACCAATACCAACACAATATTATATCAATCTCAATATTTTTGTTCGTAGGATTTGAATAATTTAAGAGAACATTCTATGTAAAATATTAATTATTAATAACAAATGACCGCTGGCAATTTGAGTTCCAACTTCGGCGTGCATGAAGACGTCTTTTGGGATAACCAACCTATTGGCAGTGAAGATTGTCGAGTGGGGCACATTGCATGGTTTGTTCAACCCTGGGTTCCTCTCGCCCACACTGTTCCATCGACCGACCGCCCACCCACTCAGTCAGTTTCTATGGACCCGGGATCTCTTATCGCATCAACGCGCGCCACTGATCCAGCACGGAGCAGGGGTGGCTACGACTGCAATTACGAAATTGCTTTGCTGGCTAATGGCCTCTTTACTGAATACCGATACATTGTAGTCACTTCTCTGCATAACCACCGCCGAAATACAGGGGTGAACAAGTACTGCCCAGAAACCGAAAACTTCCCTTTCTTCCTGCTGTGATGGTCTGAGGCTGACTACGTTCCTGGATTTGCGCCCGCTCATTGGACCGCTGCCTGTCCAACTGCAGGTAAGTAGCAGTACGTCCCTAGTTAACTTCTGTCTTTCGAAATTCTGCAGGATAATTAGAGTATTTTAAACCTGCGATGTTTAGAGTGTCAAACGAAACACGAATTGTAATTATGTTGAAATTGGAACAGATTCTTTCACGGCGTTGTCTTGGAGGAACAGAGTAAAACTGCGAAAACGTGTGGAATGCTGGATTACAGGTCTAAACTCGTTTTCGTGTGCCCCGTCGTTGGACCGCATTTGCGTCAAATTCAATCCACGCATTTATTTCAGGATACATTTTAATATTATCGCCTGTAGTTTTTCTGGTTCTAAACAATGAAATGTCAATATCGATTCAGTTGCTTTTTTCTGTCTCCCTCTGTACACGCTTGGCATCCACATCCGTTTGTCTGCTTCCTGTTACAACCGTTTCATTCTTCATACACGAACACAATGGGGCCAACCTGTTAACACCTGTTTCCCTCCGCTAAAGGTAAATTTTCTACCGTGCGATTCTCCCCCTATTCCATTATACCAGGGGTTCTTAAATTCTTTCAGTCAGAAGGCCTCGGCTCGCGGACCACGGCGGATAATTTACTGGAATTGCAATTTACAGTTGTGTGAACACGGTGACGAAACTATTGTTCTATTAGAGGCCGGGAATTTCTCATCTGCTGGTGTTTTCGTGTTGAATAAGGTGTGCTGACAACAAATGGTGAATGCCTAAGGACATGGAAGGTGGAATGTTTCAAGGCACGTGGATAGAGTATGGAAAACTTTAGTAACATCAGGAC